TGTCCAGTTTTTTGAATTCTTGTATACTTGTATTTTGATTGGTCATTCCAGCTTATGTAACAGCGTTTCCCCTTAGCGAGGGATGTTTGATTGATTTGAACCTTTTAAAACCCTTTATTCTCCATTCAACATCATCACTTGATAAGACACCAGAGGTGTTGAAACAAAATAGCTATTTTTGTAGTGATTTTATAACATATTTATGTTATAATTTTCGAATAAATAATTATATATATATATATATATATATATATATATATATACACACACACACACACACACATAGAGATATGTGTATTGTATATATGTATGTAAACAGATAAATATATATGATGGCTTGGTTCTATATTATTTCCACCTGATTATTGTTATCATATGAAACTCTGAGTTGCAGATTTTGGTATTATTGAATTAATAATATTATATTATATTTAGGCTCTATTGATTCTTGAATTGAGCCCTCAGTTTATTTTATATTTTAAGTTTTTAGCTTATTTTAAGATTTAGCTTTTATTCTTTTTATTTGTGTGAAATCAAATGGCAACAATTGAAAGAAAAGTGAAAAAAAGAGAGAAATGTTTAAGAAATGAGTGCAAAGTGAAAAGAAAAAACAACCAAATAGACAATAATCATGACATTCTACATGTGTGCGCAAATGCGCAAATGTGCAGACGTGCACATGTGTTTGAATGTGTAGTCAATGAATACTGTATATTTCCTTTTAGGGAAACAGTTATATACCGATGTACCTATGAACATTAATGGTTATGTCCCAATCCTCATAAATACATTGGACACTATTGTAAGTGGCATAATATGCTATGTAGTCCACCACTAGTAGTGGTTTACCTACTTTACGCCGCTAGAGAATATTGTACTTTGTTGATATTATAAAGATTACCATTCCATTTCCAACCTCCATTTTGGTTATTCTTCATTCAGTAACCTTTTCTACATTACAACAATATAATTTAAGAAAATGGTGTGAATGCCGTTTTTATATAATTTTTAAATAGTCAGCAATCCTAGAAATATTGGAAAATATTCTCCGTAATCTAATTTTAGGAATGTTGACTTTAAATTTGCTATCGTCATCACTCTTATTTTTTGATATGGTCACCCATACTTTCAAAAATGAGCACATTTATATACATGAAAAAAATTAAAAATTCTTTTAAAAATCCTAGAGCTTGAAGACTGGTATTATGTTTTACTATATATCTCATATATATATTGCTGCTATATATCTCAAGATTTTCCAGAAAATTTAGTCTTTAATTGTTATATACCGTAACTATGAACACTAATGGGTATGTCCCAATCCCCATGAATACGTTGGACATTATTGTAAGTGGGGGTAATATGATGTCTAAGTAGTCCACTGCTAGCAGTGGTTTACCTAATTCATGCCACTGGCAAGTATAGTATTTGGTTGATGTTATAAAGATTACCATTCCATTTCCAACCTATGTTTTGGTCATTCCTCATTCAGTAACCTTTTTTAGGTTAAAACAGAAACAACTAATATTATCATTACCATTAGAGACGAGAAGAACAGATATTACACTTTTTATTTAGTCATTTCCTCCCCCAAGGTGATGGGATATGGCACAAAGCTAGTTTATAAATGGGGATCCCAAGCATGTGCCCCTGGGCTAAGACTAAATATTACCCAGTTGCCACAACCAACATTGCACTCGCATCGATATTCCACCAACCCTTACTCTTTGGTGTAATGGAGGAGGTGCTGATGCAGGATTGGAATCCATGTGACCAGGTGTCAATCATTTATTTGTTGTGTTCTATCTGAAAACAGAAACACAATTGAGAGATAAAATGTAGTTATTATTACATCCATGATATAATAACATTGTACTTCACAGACGGAACAGAATGGCTGAAAGGAAAAAGAATGACAAATATGCTTTGTTCTCAGAGAGACTTTTATACCACTAAGACATACACAAAACTCTATATACATGTGCCCCATACAGAGTACAATATATCATAGTAAGCAGAGTGTAAGGAGAAACAAAAAGTAAGGGTCTTACATATAATATGGAGATTTTTCCGTGGTTCTGGAGAAACCATGTTTAGGATGGCAGATTCAAATGGGCTGGATTCATCTACCATGTCCCAGGCAAGAGAATATTCTGTGAAGAGGAAATGGTGAGTTCTGGGTTTTCCCAAATTGAGGACTGCAATCTGGAGATACTTCCTATATCTAGGAAAGATATATTCCCAAATGAAAACGGCACCATGTGCTTGTAAGCTGCTGGGGAAGGCAGATTTAGCCAAGGTTATTTGGTACAGGCTAAAAGACAACCAATAGGTTTGGCTGCTGTAAACAAACTGAATGACTGACCACTCTATTCACTGTATGAAGTGACATCAAAATCTTCACCAGATAAGGATTTAATGATTCTATGATCAGATATCGTTTCTGAACTGTGACATCATTGTCAATAATATAAAGTATCCCACTTACGTTTTATGATACACAATACCACTAGATTTAGGAAGTAAACCTTTTAATTCTAAAGTTTATATTTATAATATTACTTTGTTCAGAGTGTTGTCTTTTTATTGCCATATTCCCCAAGGATACATGACCCAGTGGATAAAAGCGTTGGTTGAGTAATCCAAAATGTTACTTGGGCCAAAGAATTGTGAGTTCAATCCCTAGCCACAGCAGAGGGAACAAAAACTTGGAGAGTTGATTTACTAAAGGGAAGGCATGGCACGTGGAATTAGAACAATCTACCCCAATGGACTAGAGCCTACCAACAATTTTATCCAAGGACACATGTCCCAGTAGATAAAAGTGTTGGTTGAATCCAGTGACTTGACCTAAAAAGTTGTAAGTTCCATACCTGGCTACTGCAGCAGTGAACAAAAATTTGAAGAGTTGAGTTAAAGGGTGATAACTGAGACATCTGGAAGAGGTATGGCATGCAGAAATAGAACAATGTACCCTGGTGGATGAAATAAAGTCCGAAATTCCAATCATCTGAAGAAGAGCAGAGAGTACAATGGCTGAAATACAGTGAATAAGGCAAAAAAGATTAGAACAGTCCGAACAATGTAAATAGTATAAATAATTACAATACCTCATCTCAGAAATATAGACAGGTATTTTTAGCTATTATTATCATTATTATTATTATTATTAGTCCAATATTAATGGCAAATAAATTTTAAATAAACATTTAAAATTTATTATTATTATTATCATAAAGTTACTTATTAGTCAAATAGTTGGTAGACAAATTTGAAATAAATAGTTGAAGTTTATTATTATTATTTTTTGTGTGCTATATTTCCTGCTTTGTATCCTGTAGAGCCGGGTCTAAACTATGGTCCTTAGGCCCTATAGGAGAATTGTCATTTAATCAATAGTACTTTTCTTAGTATATGGTATGTTCCTAGTAGGGTGATCTTCTGTGCAACTTGTATGTTGATGTTACCTGGGACACTGTTAGTAAAATTGTCCATTCCTTTTTTTTCACGAGGCCCAGAGTTCGGATTACTATTGGTACAGACTCAGTCTTCATTCTCCACATCCTGTTAATCTTGATCTACAGGTCCTTGTATTTGGACAATTTCTCAATAAGTTTTAAGGAGGTGGTACTGCTATGTCAACAAGCATACACTTTGTTATCATTATTACTATTATTATTATCATTATTATTATACATTTATTTATTAGCCCAATAATTAGCAAACATAAACACATTTTATTAAAAAATTTTACTGAACATTTTGCATATAAGATAGCATATTAAATTATGAGTGAACTGTTTAAAACAGCTTGCCTTTTAATTGCGAATATAATTTCTGTGCTTTTATTTTATTAGTGTGCTGTGTACATTTTTGGGACATTACTGTATTTCAAATAAATTGTATTTCTTTTTATTATTCTAACCCTGTTGATCATTGATTCCTATCCTCATTTGGTCTTATTGATATCGTTCTGCTTTTTTCTTCTTTTTCACTTCTGGATACAACAACTCTTGTGGATACAACTGCTGTTTGATATGATTAGCTCATGCACCATTGTATCTACACACTCTCACAGTTGTTACCTCTATTATCAGCCTGCTGTAATGTCATCATTTTCTTCTTCCTGATTATCATCATCATCATCATTGACTGATTATCATAACTGTCCATTTCCTTCTCCTTCATTATCATCATCAACATGAACAAATGGCAATATGAAAAAGAATTGGGATAATTATTCTGTCTTTTGCACTTAAGCTCTTTATTTCTTTTTAAGTAAACTGATTATTTCCTTCTTTTCTTTCTAGGAAATAGCATTTGCTGTGATTGATTGTTGTGGTTGAATGTTGTGATTGTTGTACTTAGTTTTAAATCATAACACTGAAAAGAGAAGGAGGAAGGAAAAGAAAAAGAAAGCCCACCCCAACTTCCATCTCCCTCCCCACTCAAAAAAAAAAAAGACTTGAGAAATGAAAATAAGATAGGATGAGAGGAACAAAAAAATATGGCAAAATAGATCAATGGGTATAAAAAAATAAGACAGTTTTAAGCACATGTAAAAAGAAACCAATTGGGAAGGCAATAAATGGTTTTGTGAGTAGAAGGAATAGGGAATAGGAGAGAAAAAGTAGAAAAGAAAACAAAACAAAAGTTTCATACAAGACTGGGGATGATGATGATGATGATGATGATGATGATGATGACGACGACGACGACGACGACGACGACGACGACGATAAACAGAAAGAGAGTGAGAGAGTGATAAAAGAAGAGAGTGGGAGAGAAAGGTACTGACTGTGATTGTTTGATGGATCAATTGATCGATATATAGATAAATATCCAAAATTGGGCAAATTAAGAACTTATGATTGAAAGATTATTCTAAACAGAAGAATAGAAACTTCTAGTGGATAATAAAAAAGAGAAAAGGAAAAAAGAGAAGGAAAAAGAAAAGAAATAGCAAAAAAAAACAACAAAAAACTAAAAACTAAAGGGAATTAGAGGGAGAGAGAAAGGGAAAGAGGAAGAATAGGAAAAAACAGAAAGAAGAATACATAGATAGATAGATAGATAGATAGATAGATAGATAGCACTGTTTCAGATAAATAAAAAACTAAAAAACGTTTAAACTTGGAAGAACATTATTAGACAAATAAAGAAAGTAATTTTGTCAAATTTTAATAAAATGTAAGCAAAGAAACAAGTGGAAAAAAAAGATATGCATATATGTATACAATGTATATATATGTATATGTATATCTTCTCTCTCTCTCTCTCTTGATATATATATATATATATATATATATATATATATATATATATATATATATATATATATATATATATATATATATATACATACATATATATATAATATATTATATATATATATATATATATATAAGAAATATATACATTTACACATATGTAAATGTATATATCTTTCCTTCTGTTACATAAATACATACCTACAGACAATGTATGTATGTATGTATGTATACATACATATATACATGCTTACATGAGTTATGTGTGTAGGTAAAACACATGTTCTTTTTTAAAAAAAGCATAAACTTTAATTGTTTATTTATATAGACTACCAAATGTAAGCATGAACATAGATAGATAGATAGATAGATAGATAGATAGATAGATAGATAGATAGATAGATATGAACTGAATGAAACACATATACATAAATATAGAGATGGACACATGAAAAGAATGATATATATAAGCACATATAATATATGCATGTACACTAATAAACTTAACACATCCTTACACATATATAGGGAAAGAATTATATATATATATATATATATATATATATATATATATATATATATATATATATATATATATATATATACAGAGATATGCATTGTATGTAAACAGATATATATATAGAGAGAGAGAGAGGGTGAGAGAAAGAAAGATAGAGATTGATGTGAGATTTAAGTTAAATGGACAGAAAGAAATGGGAAATAGTACAGTGATAATCACACACAAATACATGCATTTAAACAGATAGATAGATAGATAGATAGATAGATAGATAGATAGATAGATAGATAGATAGATAGATAGATGTGAAAAAGAAACAGGGAAAAGAAAAGAGGATTAGAGAGGGTAAGAGATTTATGACAATTTAACTGAGAAGGAAAAGAAAAAAGAAGAGTGAAGAGTGAGGAAAAATACAGGCTTATAATTTTAAAAAGGAACATTTACTTTCGCTGTAAAAGCTATTAAAAAAGAACCATTGAAGAAAGAGGTGAAAACAGTAGAGTGAAAGTGAAGGAGAAAGAAAGGGTGTAATAGTGATCGAAATAAAATGAGTGAATGAGAGAGAGAGAGAGAGAGAGAGAGTGAGAGAGTGAGAGAAAATGTGTGAGAGAAAGGAATAATGATGATAATGATGGTGTTGATAGAATATAAAGAAAGTGGGTAGAAGGAAGAGAAGGTTAATATAGAGAGTTATGCCAGTGGAGTGAGTGAAAGATGATACAGAGTGGGAAGATAGAGAGGAGAGCCAATGGTGGTAGTAGTGTAACAGTAAAAAGTGAGGAGGACCGATCATGTGTATCGTCGTGTTTTAGTTATTGTCATCATCATCATCACCATTATCATCATTATCATTATTATTTAGGATTCGGTCTTTCTCTCACTTCCAGTCCTCCTAGCTTCAATTTAAAAAAATAATATTTTTACGCTGGTTGATGAAAAAGAGAAAGAAAAGAAAGAAAAAACATAGGGGGAAGAAAGGAATCAGAAAAGGAGAAGTATTTTCTAATATAAATAACAAAAAAAAAAACCCCAAAAAACAAAGGAAAAAGTCCACATTAATTTTTGGTCTTTCTTATTTAAAGAAAGACATAAGATGCACATATGATCAGAGATGATGACAACAACTGCACAAAGAAAGGGACAAGAAGAGTAACACGTAAGATTAAGAAGCAAGAGAAGATATATAATAATCCAGCAAGCGACCAGTTGCAGATGCATAATATTATTATTATTATTATTATTCAAGAATATCTTAAAAAAAGAGATGGAAGAAGGAGGTTGATGAGGATTTTTCACTGGTGCTGGTAAAAGGTACGCTTTTTTATTACTTATTTTGAAAAAATGCCAAAAAAAAACAACAAAAAAAAAACAATCGTCACACTTTTTTGTTGTTCCTTAGGTTATTTATTTTATTTTTTTTACTAGGCATCATTCTACCAATACTTACTTTTATTTTTTTTATACAGTTTTTTTTTAATTGTCTACACTACAACACTCATGAGGTCTACTAATTAAGACAACTAATTTAATTGCAATTTAACTCATTAACGTGTTTTTGTGTATCGGTGCTTCCATAGACGGGGAATGAAGCAGGGACCACAACAAAAATGATTTTAGAACCTATTTTACCTCGTCTCATATCGTGAACGTATTTTTGACATTTCAGTAGTTTTGAAATTGTAGGTAGATATCTCACATAGAAATGGACACTAAAATAAAAATAAAGACATAGGTTTTATTTTTATATTATTATTTTTTTAATTACTAACTAAAAAAAGGGACTATTTTCTAGAAAAAATGTTTCGTATTTAATTTTAAAACAGATTTTTTTTTAGGTATGATGATTTTCTGGGTGTCTTGAAGAAAACAACAACAAAAAGACAAAATGAAAAACATTGATTCTGGCAGTGCCAGTTAAAGTCCAAGAACAATAAACATTTTATTTTAATTAATAAAAAATAAATAAATGAAAATGCCATCAAAATCAGCAAGATGACATTTAAAGAAAAATGAAATTCTATACACACGTTGTGTATAGTAAGTAAGAAGTACACAGTGTACACCTGCTGTAAAGCCGTGAAAGTGTGTACTGTACTACTAGTAAATAAATAAATGCACTTAAACTTAATTTGCACACCAGACATGCTTTTAGTTTTATTTGCAGTTTGCTATATAACACGCACTGCAAAAAAAAGTAAACACATCATCATCATCATCATCATCATCATCATCATCATCATCATCAAAATTTCAGATGACCCATACAACATAGGTTCATTATATTTCTTCTTACACCTTCATGTCATTTAATATCATTTATTGTGTCCTTTGCCTAGCACTACCTAATAAAGCAAAAGGTATTTTCTCTCATCATTTTGTTTTTCATCTTCTCCTCCCTCTCCTCCTGTTTTTTTTTTATTTCCTTCGTTTATTCTGATTTCTTCCTTCCATCCATTTTTAAGTTCTCATATCAAGTTCCTTTTTTTTTCTTTTTTTTTTTCCACATTCATTTTTTTTATTTTATGTCAAAAACTAAGTTCTAATAAAGTCAGAAATCGACATCTCAATTTCTATCTACAATTATCGACGCACATACATCATTTCCAGTTTTAATTTTATCTTTTGAAGGTATTTTTTCCTCTTTGATTGATTGGATTCATTCATTCATGTAGTGGTCGCTTTTCTGTTGATTTCTAAAATATTTTTGTCATCATTGGAAAGAGCTTGGATGACGTCGACTCGACCTTTGCTTCTATCTTTCTTTGCTGTTGTTGTTAACCTCTAAGAAGATTTCCACTTCACATTTTTATTTACCCCTCGCAAATAAATATCCTCGATCGACAGACGACGTCAATATTTTGTTGACATTTACCCACCAGCAACACAAGACAATTTTTGTAAACAGCTGATAATAATGACAACATGGACTACTATTTCCTTTTGTGTCAGGTTGTATTAACATTTATTTACTCGTTCACCCTACCTCAGAATGTAAAAATTCACTATTCATCTAACTAAATCTGTCTATCTATCTATCTATCTATCTATCTATCTATCTATCTATCTATCTATTTATCTATCAACATCTGTCTGTCTGTATCATCTGTGTCAATCTATCTATCTATCTATCTATCTATCTATCTATCTATCTATCTATCTATAAAAATCCACTGAACATGCTTTATTAATTATTTTATCGTTAATTGTGAAGGATTCAGCTCTTTGGTTACGTAGAATAATCAAAAATATGATTAGAGATCGACAAATTGCAGAAATTGTTTTTCTTAGTTTTTTTTGTTTTTTTTTAACTTAGTACGTTTTACAACAGAATCGTCTTAGTCGTGCGTGAGTAATTAACATTCGCGGTTAATAATACCCACTTGTTGTATTTAAAAAAAAAAAAAAAAGAAAGAAAAAGATACCTAACAGAACTTTTTTTCTCTAAAAATCTAAAATTTACTTGACTGTTGAAAATTGCTGTTAAAAGTTTGGAGGAATATCGTGATCAGAAGAACTGATTATTATTATGAACTCTCTGAGTTGCGCCACCTCACTATTTGGTCGTGAAGGTTTTCCACCGTCTTCTTCTTTTATTCTTCTTATTTGGATTGACCGACTATTCGTTGCTTCTTGGTGGTGGTAGTTTCCAATTCCAGCATCAAGGAAAACGAATATCCTCCTCATCCTTTGTTTGTGTGTGTGTGTGTGTGCGCGCGTGTGTGAAATGATGTCAACAATATTTCATCTGCGAATTTACGGTTTCATTATCAGCGGAAAAGTCAACACTATCTATCTATCTATCTATCTATCTATCTATCTATCTATCTATCTATCTTAGGCTGTTCATATCTATCTATCTATCTATCTATCTATCTATCTATCTATCTATCTATCTATGATACAACACAAGCGCACTCTGGCACACACAATGCATGTCCAATGTACATTGTAGTGTACACAAACTCATAGGATTTTTTTTTAATATTTTTTCTTTCTTAGTTTATTTCTTTTGTTTTCGCTCTCTCACTTTCACCTTTTCTCTCTTTCGTATTTTTATTTTAGTTCTCTTTACTTTTTCTTTATCAATATGTATTTTCTTTATATTTTTCTACACTTTTTTTCGTACAAACTAAAAAACGTATCGCTTCTTCAATTCCACATTCAATCCAGAGTGTTACTCGATTTTTGAAACTTTACAAATTATTTGATCGCAAACTTTGTTTTAAGAAGCAGGACTCCTTAAAGAATGTATTTGTAAATCATCCAATTTTAACTTTTTCAAACAGTTACTGTTTCAAACAGTTTTTACCAAAAATCTACGAAAAGAGAAATAAAAACGCAATAACTATGAAATTAATTAATTAGATAAGAAGAAGCTTAATTGCTTTTTTAAGGATAGTCTTTAAAAAAATTCGATGAATAATGAATTTTTACAAGAATTGTTTTCAGTTTTTGTTTTGTTGTTTTTTTTAATTATAATATATATATATATATATATATATATATATATATATATAATTGATTTAAAATATGTTTTTTCTCTACACAGTTCTAACCATGTTTCAAAAATGGAAGCTATTGAGCACTATTTTGTAAAAATAAAAATATCTATAAGAACATCGGATTATATATCTTGCTGTTCTTTTCTTTTTATAATATATATATATATATATATATATATATATATATATATATATATATAAAAAATTTAAAAAAAATTATTTAAAAATAATTTAATTCATTTATGAAAAAGTCCTGAAAGTTTCATTAAAATCCGACAATTATTTGATTTTTGCAAGAATTTCCAAATTAATGTGTTATTTTACCGGAAAAAAAAAGTCGCTAAAATTTTCATAGTTCATTTGTTACACCGCTGGTGAAAAAAAAAAAAAAAAAAAAAAAAAGATATTTAAATTTAATCAAAATTTCAAACCTGTTAGAAAGGATTAAAAAATTAAAAAAAAAAAAAAGTAACAAATACTTTGGTTTTTCTCTTAATACAAATATTTTGACGATAAAACTTTGTTTTTATTAAGTTTGGAGCCTTTTTTTATATGCTGCTTTTTTTCAACGGAAAAGTGGAGGCACCGATTGCTTGCAAGTGTATTTAATTTAACAGCAACATTTGGCAATTAGTCAGTCACAGTTAATAATTAATAAATAAACTTCTAGTATTGTGTTAAACCTGCAACTTTTTTTTTTTTTACAACAAAGCAAAGGTGAGTCTAAGCAGAACAAAACAGTCTTCTTACTCTTTCTTTTATTAATTGAAATTTTTGTTGAAAAGGACGTGTGTGTAAATAAAAATGACATTATTACTCGCAGTACACAATAAAAGATAAGTGTATTAATGACTTCTGGGTTTTAGTTTTTGATGTCGGTGAGTCTTTTGATTTTTAGCCGCTTCTCTTGTTTAGTTGAGAGAAAGGGAATCACTTGGCACAGATTTGTATAGATTAGTTGGCCTTTTTGAGTAGACTGACCACAACCTATTGCAAAGTCTCGTATTTTTATCTGTTGTTAGGGGATACCTACCACCAACAATTGGGTGAACATTTTCGTTTTATACCTGATCTGTCTTTCCACTACAACAACAGGCTTTTTAAAATTTTATTTTAGATTTTAAGTTTGGCGGCTTTTCCGTTGATATGACGTCTAAATTAAATACTTATTTTGTGTGGCTTTTTTTATATGCCAGTGAAATATTTACACGTTGTTTTAATTATTGAATCTTGAATAACATCACCTCAATTTTTGTATTAGTTGCACGATTATTTCTCTCTTTTTTTTTTT